AAGTTTTTTGGATATGTTTTCGAACCAGCAGCTAGAAGCATAGTCAAAATGACATTGGATCAGTGCCGACACCAGGGTTTTTCTAGATCTAAAATTGAGACAGTCACGGTGTCTATATAGAAACCACAATTTCTGGTTCACTTTTTTTATAATATTTTGGACAATTTGTTCTCCAGGTAGAAAGTTTTCCAATATAATACCAAAATATTTGACACACACCTGAGGCATAATTATATTACCGTAACACGAAACAGAAAATGAGCCTTCAGGTAATTTGGAAAGTTTCCTTTTGGGGCCAAACAAAATACTCTCTGTTTTTCCAAGATGTAAGGATAATTTGTTATCTGTTAGTCAATCGTGACATGACTCTAAGTTTTTCGATAGAAATTTTGAAATATTTTTTGGGTCTTTATGCGAGAAGATAATTGCACTGTCATCTGCGTACAGAAATAATTTGCATCCTGGGTCAATACTGATCCGCATGTCATTTACATAAATAAGAAAAAGAAGCGGTCCCAATAAACTCCCTTGGGGTACCCCGCATGTTATATTACAAATATCCGAGTTCACATTATTGATATTGACTAATTGTTTTCTGTTGGTAAGGTATGATGTGAACCACTCCACCGACTCAATGCCAATTACACCAAGTTTATCACACAAAATCCCATGGTCAACTGTATCAAAGGCCTTCTGTAGGTCTAGTAAAACCATTCCAGTGAAGAGACCTTTAGACGTCTGGGACTTTATGTGATCAACCAGGTGAATTAAACAGGAGTCAGTGGAATAGGATTTTCTACCTGTTATACCTTTTACTGATTAATACGGTGACCCGAAAGAAAGGTAAACGAGTCATTTTTACACTTCGTATACACAGTACACGTGCAAAACCTTTTGCGCGTAAATCAAGCACAATGCTACACTTCACTGAATTTTTCCCGAGGACAATATTACAAAGCAATAACGTCCTTATTTTTTCGGATGTTAACTGAAAAATCTTGGTAAATGTTTGTGTATTGCCACTGCCAGGTGTGACAGTGGGACCTTTTCTCAAATTTTTACGTGAATTTAGCGCCATTCTCAGAAGGTACTGGTGGGATCTTTCTCAAATTCTACTTGTAGATTCCCTATAGTCAATAGTTGTGTATATTTAATAATAGGGTTCATCTTTCAATCAAAGTGGCCGATTTTTTTATCGAGAATACTAGACAGGTATTTATCAAATTTCATATGCAGATTTTCCTAAGTTCCCATTAAGTACTGCGCTAGTATAAAGGTTAAATGATAACCTCACTTTGAAACAATAATGTTATATACAGCTGTATGACGGTTTGATCTAAAGTAACAATCATGGACATTTACTGTTTACATGACTCAATCCAAAAAATAAGAGAAAAGAAGAGCACAGCCCTTATATAGAACCAACAAACGATGGTACGATGGTGGGCACCAAGATTCCTCTGAGATCTCTTGATTAAATGTATCTTTACATACTTGATATTTCTAGTGATATTGTAGCAATATTAAGACGTGGGTTATATAGAGGTTACACAACGAGTGGTTGTTGAATTATGTATTTATTTAACTCGAGTTAGTTAATTTTCAAAAGTTACGAGCTTTAGCGAGTGTCTTTTGTAACTTTTGAAAATTAACTACCATATTCAACAACCATGAGTCGTGTGATCTGTTTCTACCACAATCTTAATCGGAATCAGCTGGAGTGTGACCTCATTGTTGACAAGGCTGGCGTAGTAATATAACCCATATGTAAAAAGTCACTCATTAAATGACTTTATTTCACAAATTTCATAATTTCAAAGTTATTCTTTCAGCAACAACTTCATGACAAAAATATAGTAGGTCCAAGTATTTAAATATTGAGAGTATGCAGTTTTTAATTAAATTAAATATAATTTAACTGCGGACTATATGCGCGTACTTAATCTGCTTCCCGCCAAGCGATGAAGACGAACTAGCCTAATCGCTGTCACTGTCCAAAACCATTGGCCTGGGACGTTTCTTAGTGACGGTTGAATGGTTGATGTTAATGGTGAATCTTCCACCATAGACAGGTCTCAAATAGTAAGAGAAATGCGTTCGACATTGCCGGACCACTAATTCCACATGTATGCTGGGGAACGGCGATTCTGTGTCCTTCGTTTAATGGCGTTTGAAGAACCGGCCTGTTGACCTGATCAGATCTAGAGATCGCCCTCTGCTGGTTGGTGAATTTGGTGTTAATTGTGGAATAGCTATTTATGCTCTGTATTTTTTCATGCCCAGAGATCTGGTAGAAACATAAAATAGCACACGTGTTATGAGCTATTGGCACGTGTTAGTGATGAAGTTTAAAATAGCTCGGTCATTTCTAATAGGCCTACAGCTGAAAATCAGTGATGATTTGGCTACTTAGCCTGCTTGGATTTATTTGGTGTATGGGTATTATTTGTCGTTGAATTGCAGGTAAGTTAGACACAAACAAATATTAAAAGTGTTCTAGAGTTCAATCGCTAATGCGCGATAGTTAATCTTGTGATGATACTTTTTTTTTTAAATAATGTACCTACATGATTTGATTGGGGGTAATCCTTTGTCATTGAGTTTCTGCAACATATATTTTCTGGCGCTGTGGTTTGTCAACCGTTTTCCCCGAGGAGTATCTCCCGACTCGCTCGTCAGACCTAATAACAGAATTAACAGTTTTATTTTAAATCTCGTGAAAGTATAGGCTAGAAATCCACAGGTGTACCGGGGATAGTTGTCAATAAAACGTGACTAATTTCTACTCCGTGTCATCATTTTAGTAGAAAATATACAATATTCGGTGATTATTTTACTATCGTATTGTGTGACTACACATATAGTCTAATGACAACTTAAACCAGCGATTGACCTACACATGATATTTACATACGTCACGAAACGTCGATACCAGGTGATTGGTCGATGGGGCCAAAACTCATTCAGTGTTGTGTGACGTAGGCAAAGTTTCTTGTAAGTCAATTAATAANAAAAAGGGGGGGGTTTTTTTTTTTTTTTTTTTTTTTTTTTTTTTTACACTGAATTGACGGCGTGTTTGTGTAGGTAAAACAACATTTTTTACTTTTTTTTTTTAAATATACCTGCATTTTCTGCCATTGTGGTCATAAATTTTCCAAGCTTGTTTATTCCAACTGGCTGACAATTAATTAAACCATTTGCTGGTCATCTAGGCCGCAGTAAGTAGGCGGACGACGGGCTATGTAGGCTTTATATGAGGCAACAGGACAGCGAGATGGGTTATCGGGGGTTACCCAGGCACGCGGAGGAACGGCTCTCACATTTTTAGGATTAGAACCCGGTCTAGTTTTCGTCTGACGTTCACGAAATTCAATATAATCATTATTTTCCGAATCCTTACATAATTGTACATCGCCCCATCGCATATCTCGATGTTCAGTAACACCGCGCATACCAAAATGAATAGTGTTTTGTAGCCAAATTGTTCGTAACAAACTTTCAGGGCTACTGGTTCCAGGTTGACGTGATTCATAAAGTTGATCAATATCTTTGTCTGAAATGGCATCGGCTCTCCTATCTGGATTGCCTTTCCCCTCACGTTTTAACTTCTTTTGTTTTGAACGGATTACCTCCATTACTTTTGAAAACTCAGAACTTGTAGCGATCTGTTTGCCGTAATCTTTTGTTTTCAAATACCGATCTATGCTGCATGCGATATTTCTAATAGATGCAGGTTCATATTCGTCACCCTTCTGATTTCGTACATTCATGAAAAAGATACAGGGTAGCTTGTTTAAATGTACCGGGGGTATTGTTTCTATCGGTCGTTTTTCTTTGAGAACATCTTGTAAAAAATCTTGTACTTTCCTCATGTCACCGTCCGGTTTTTTTTTGTATTTTTGTTCAACTCTGATGCAATAAAACCATCAATATCAAAATCGTCTAGTGAATCATTGTCAGACATTTCGCTAGAACTGCGGCGAATATTTGAAGCGGATGGGGATAGATATTTGACAGTTTCTGTTACTGTCATTGATTGACCAGTCGTTTCACAACCTGTAAACGATGGCGTGATAACGGGACGTAGGGAAAACGGAACATTTTCAGACACAGTGACAGTCCGTGTTAATGTTTCTCGACCTGGACACGACGATATTACGTCGAAACGATATCGCGCCTCTGTAGCGATTTTGCCTGAAACTGACTCAATTTCATAGCGATCAAATCCGAAATTATCATCTTCTTTTGATACTGCCTTAATCACCCCTTTTTCCCCATCTCATAACCTTACAAAGTCGCCGACATTTGCCCGAATAAGCCCGTCCTCGTCATGCAAAGCAGCCATGTTGACAGCAGACGACGTAAACAAACAGCACGTGGCACAAAGCGCGTGAAAAAGGTAGTCCCGGTCAAAGTTCATCTTCTCGGCCAATCAAAACTACTGAAAGTCATATACCACGTGTGGTATATAACTCATATTTTTTGAACAGTCTGCTTGTTTATACAATGATATGAGAGTGGAATAACACAGCGTATTGTGGTAGAAAAATTGCTTGTCCTTTCAATCATCAGAACTTTAATTGCACATATGGCTTCAAACGTTACCACTTCTTGAATAGTTGACATTGATTTGAAGAAAATTAAATGAAGATAACGTAAACAAATCATTAAAGACCTATTTACAACACTGACTAGTCTTACTACAATGATGAAATGATGGGTTCCTGATATTTTAGTGTTACTCAGAAAAAAGTTATATCATCATTGCTTTGTCAATGATTAGTTTCACGTTTTCAGGAAAATAGACAGCGACCCTTTCCAAGGTCAGATTGGTCAACACATCTGATTACTTATGCAGAAAGTAGTTCATAACTGTTGTACTGTCAGACATTTTGTCGTGGAATCACATTTTGTGTAACTGAATTAAGGACAAAAATGAAAGATAAATTTAAGTCAGTTTCTCTATGGTTTGTTGCAGCTGATTTTAGAAATGTAGGCATACACATATTTTTCCTGTAAGCTTGTGATATCCATGCATTCTGTGATAAGTGATTTGAAGACTTTTTGATATTAGGACATAATGATGTGCTATTGAAATAATTACAGCTGAGATACTGGTGTGAACTCACTTGCAATGCATAATACTGAATGTTGACACATTGTTTACTGTTTTTAATTTAGACGCTTATTTGACTACGTAAGTTTGCGACAGGTTTCGCTTGCCATATCATTATCAAAATTATAACCGATATTTTTTCTGTGTGAATGCTAAACAGTTTAGCTAAATCTTTTTTATTTTCTCTTGAAATATTCAGGCATGTATCCAGAGTAAAAGAATATGTAAAGCCGTGAAAACGGAATACATTGCATGTCTTCGGTCTTCCGTGACGTTGCGATGTGAAGTTCAACATGTAAATAATGCAGAATGGAAGCGCCTCAACGATACTAAGCCAGCAACATTTGAAAATAAACACGCTTTGCTCAAGATAGAATCAATGGACAAAGAATCCGAGGGAGAGTACTTCTGCCAAGCTTCGTTGAAGTTTTTTCGTTCAAAAAGTGATCCCATCACATTACGTAAGCATGCTTATTTAAGTTAGTTTCAAACATTTTAAACATTTTTTGAAATAAAGATTTATTTGGATATAAGTGAAATTTCTGTAATATAAGTGTAAAAATGTATACAAATCAGTACATTTAGCTATTTAAATCACCTGTAGTCCGTTGGCCGTCCGCCGTCCGTCCGTCCTTAAACAATTCTTGTTATTGCTCTTTCTCAGAAAGTTCTGGATGGATCTTTCTTTAATTTGATAGGTAAGTTCCCTTTGGGTTTTGGTTGTGTATGGTTACTATTGAGAGTAACTGGATAAAAACGAAATGGCCAACAGGCGGCCATTTTTGATTTTTACGTTGGATGTTTGTTATAGGTATATCTCAGGAAGCATCTCACTTTGAATGTTGCCTTTTATACAAAGCAGAATGAACTTGAGATCAAAAGAGACTTCAGGGTGCATTTACTGTTTACTTGACTCAATCAAACAGATAAGATAAGAGAAAAGAACGAACTGACATAGAATAACAAATGTGGTGTTATGGTGGGCGTCAAGATCCCTCTGGGATCTCTTGTTATTGAACTAAAGACATCATAAATGTAAGAATTAACAAAATAACATGGAAATATTAGATTGGAATAACATTTGTTCAATCATTCTAACTCCTGTCGTTGAGTGCTGTCAATCGTCCTTCTTGTGTCAATTGTTTTTACTTTAAACGACTTCTTCTGCATAACCAAAAATCATATGTTGATTTGGCCGGGAGAATGGTAGGGATGAATTTTGTTCAAACAAATTGCATACTCATTCATTGGTTGACCGGTTGGCGCGATGGATAGCGCATCGCCTTTCACTAAGACGGCCAGGATACACATTTCACTCATGATATTGAAAATATAGTTCGAGCAGAATGGGGTTATGAATGCTATTTTAATTCATTTAGATCAAATGCAAGGGGGGTAGCAATATTTTTTAATAATAATTTTGAAGTAAAGGTAATGCAGGAAAGAAGGGATTTGATTGGGAATTTTCTGGCTCTTGATTTGAAGATAGAAGGTAGAAAAGTAACTTTAATAACATTATATGGCCCTAACTCAGACAATCCAGCTTTTTATGAAAATTTAGCAGATACTACTAATGCATTTGGCAATGAATCTTATATAATATGTGGTGATTTTAATTTAATTGTGAACCCTAAATTTGACTATGATAAAAGCTATAAACATATGAACAACCCAAAAGCCAGAGATAAAGTAATTGAAATTATAGAAGAGTTGGGAATGGTAGATATATACAGAGAACAACATCCGGAGCACAAAAGATACACTTGGAGAAGTAACCCTGTTAAACAAGCTCGTTTAGATTTCTTTCTTATTTCAGACAGCTTATTACCAAGTATTCATTATTCAAATATCGAGCCAGGCTATAGAACTGATCATTCGCTTCCTATTATTGCTTTAAAATTTAATGAATTTAAGAAAGGTAAAGAATTATGGAAATTTAATAATTCACTCTTGTATGACTTAGACTACCTAGAACTTATTAATAAAATTATTTTAGACATTAAAAGACAATATGCCCTCCCAGTGTATCTTTTAGAAAACATCAATAATATTCCTGATTCTGATATACAATTCATAATAAGTGATCAACTTTTTTTAGAAACACTTTTAATTGAAATTCGAGGTAAAAACATTTCCCACTCTTCATATAAGAAAAAACAACAGAATTTAAATGAAAATAATCTTACAAATACTATACGTAAACTAGAAGATAGTAGTGATGTTGATATAGATAAAGTGAATGAAAAAAAAACAGGAATTACAAAATATCAGATTACATAAATTAAAAGGTAGTATAATTCGATCTAGAGCTAAATGGGTAGAAGAAGGGTAGAACACTTTTTTTTTTAACCTAGAAAACAGAAATTACACCTCAAAGTTAATACCGATGATAGAGAAAGACAATGGCGATAAAATAACAAAGCAGGTAGAAATTCTTGATGAGGTAAGAATTTTTTATGAAAAATTGTATACAATTGATAATGATATAGAAGATGTTCATATAGATGATTTTTTAAAAGATATTGATATTCCAAAATTAAGTAATATAGAATCTAACAAACTAGAAGGTATAATTACTCTTAATGAAGCTTCAAATACTTTAAAAACTATGAAAAAAATAAAAGCCCAGGCTCTGATGGGTATACAGTAGAATTTTTTAAATGCTTTTGGAAACAACTAGGTACTTTTATAGTCAAATCAATTAATTTTGGGTTCAATCAGGGTCAATTATCAATCACACAAAGACAGGGCATAATTACATGTATACCTAAGGGAGATAAGCCTCGACAATATCTTAAAAATTGGAGACCAATTTCTTTACTTAATATTATTTATAAAATTGCATCAGGATCAATAGCTAGCAGAATAAAAACAGTTTTAAATAAAATTATTAATACAGATCAAACAGGATTTATTGCAGGGCGCTATATTGGGGAAAACACTCGAATTGTATACGATATCATGCAATATGCGGAAGATAGGAATATACCTGGAATGTTGTTAATCATTGATTTTGAAAAAGCTTTTGACTCTGTTTCTTGGAAGTTTATTGATGAAGTTCTGGATTATTTTAATTTTGGGGAAGATATAAAAAAGTGGGTCAAAATTCTACAAAAAAAGTCAAGTTCAGCTATTAATCAAGGGGGAAATTTGTCTCCATTTTTCGAAATTGAAAGAGGCTGTAGGCAGGGGGACCCCATCGCACCATATATATTTATAATGTGTGCTGAAATTTTAGCCATTAGAATAAGGAACAATAAAAATATAAAAGGTATTGATATTGATAATAGTCCTATTTTACTGTCTCAATATGCAGATGACACTTCACTGATTTTAGATGGAACAGAGAAATCACTAAAAGAATCAATTGATGAACTAAAAACTTTTGCAAAAATATCTGGATTAAAAATAAATGTTTCTAAAACACAGGCTATTTGGATTGGGAGTAAAAAATATAGTGATGAAGTTGTGTACCCTGAATTGAATATACAGTGGGGAAATCAAAAATTTATACTTTTAGGCATTGAGTTTCATGTTGACCTTCACCGAATACCTAAACTGAATTATGATAAAAAACTAGTTAAGATAAAGGCCCTTATTAGAACTTGGGAAAGAAGAATTTTGACACCAATAGGTAGAATCCATATTATAAAGGCACTATTAATTTCTCAGTTTAATCATCTCTTTATCTCTTTACCAAACCCAGATGAGAATTTCCTGAAAAAATTAAACACAGAACTGTACTGTTTTTTTTATGGAAAAGTAAAATAGATAAAGTGAAAAGAGATATAACTGTTAAAAAATACATTGACGGAGGTCTAAAAATGTTACATGTAAAGTCTTTCATTGAATCTCTAAAGTTAACATGGTTAAGGAGACTCTATACAAGTCCAAGTAAATGGCAAACTATTCTAAGAACTTCTGTTGATGATCATATTTTGGCTAACTGTGGAACTGAGTATATTTCAATATGTCACAATAATTGTAAGAATTTATTTTGGAAAGATGTTTTTGAAGCATGGATAAACTTATCAAATAAACACACTTCATATCAATCTCCAGATAAATTGGCCAAAACACCAATATGGTATAATAATGTAATCATAATAGATAATCAGAGTATTTTTTATCGGGATTGGTACAATAAAGGAATCATTATTATTAGCGATTTAATCAATAAAGACACTAATTCGTTTTACTCTTTTAGGAATTTAAACAGTTCTTTGGTATAAATACAAACTTTCTTAATTACTAAGGACTTATTTCAGCTATTCGAAAACATATACAGAAACAAGATTTACCATGTCCTATCTATCCTTTCATACCAATTAATCTAGAAATACTTTTCCGCAGTAAAAAAGGGACACAAGATTTTTATTATTTACTCAATAAAAATAATACAATATCAACTGGAAGAAAAAAATGGGATGAATTTTTTAATTTTGATAATAAAACATGGAAAAAAATATATAAAATGCCTTTTCATATAACCAAAAATTCAAAATTACAGTGGCTTCAATACAGAATCAATCAACACATTTTGACAACAAACTTATTCTTATTTAAGGCTGGAATAGCTGATAGTCCTTATTGTAACTCATGTAAAACTGATATTGAAACAATAGAACATACCCTATGGGAATGTGATAAGGTGCAGGTTATGTTACAAAATTTTGAGTTTTTATTAGATGCCTTAATGATCCCTTTTGCTTACAATAAGGAGACTTTTATCTTTGAACTATATAATCAAGATGGAATAAGAACACCAATAGACAGTACAATTATTTTGATTATGAAACAATATATTTATTCAGCAAGATGCCTACAAACCAATTTATCTATAAATGGTCTTAAAAAAGCTATCAAGGACAACTATATTACACAAAAATACATTGCAACAGGTAAGGATGACAAATATAATAACACTTTTAAAAATAATTGGAAAAAATGGCAAAAGTTAATAAATATCTCCTGAATCTTCAATTTGCTGAACTTTATTTTAAGAATACTGTTTACAGTTATAATATGTAATATTATGGGACACTAGTATATGAGTTGTTTTGTATCCATTTTCCCTATCTAAAGACATCAAAATATTCTGTTTAGCTATTACTATACATATATTGACATTTGCAGCTGACAACACATGCTCTTTACTCCCTCCTGTTTTCATATGCTAGTTATACATATAGATATATACAATGTAGATATTTACTACTGATTGCCTGACATCTCTCTCTCTCTCTCTCTTTCTCTCTCTCTCTCTCTCTCTCTCTCTCTCTCTCTGTTTTGCCCTTGTCTTTTTTTCATCCTCTGTCTAATTTTCTTTTTATTAACCTTTCCTTTTTCTGCTTTCCTTATACAAATGCAATGTAAATGTAAATATTGGAAAAATGTATTAAAATGACAATCGATAATTGTGTGTGTGAAAGTGGAAGCGAGATTAGTGTGTGTGAGATTTTCAGCTATTACAAATGTACTTTGCATTGTATAAAAAAAAAATCTGAAAAATTAAACAAATACAAAAAAAAAAGAATACCAATTTTAGAACAAAGTAAACGGACGTGTACGAAATTCAACTCAATTTAATTCAATGTCTGTATAAACTGTTCACTTTTTCGTTGACACTGTTTGACAGTCAGTAACAGTGTGCAATCACAATAAAACCCTAACGAAAACTTTAGATACATGGTCTTCAGCTAAATATAAGTCTGCATCAAGACCTTCCCGGGAAGGGCGCGCAGAGAAGGAAAGAGTGTGTTGGATCCCAGAATTTTCTGATAGCACTTGGGTACATCATATTTGTTGAAAATATACAAAAGGGAAACATCATATTATGTTTTGCTTGACTGCAGTGCTGTATTATTTAGACTGTATGCCACATCAATGCAATTCAATGCTTTAATGTACCATTTTGGAGTACTTTTTTATTTATTTTTATATTTTCAAAATTTTATGACACAAACATATATATAAATATACATACAATGTACATGAGCGTCTAGAATCGCCTTTGAATAATTATATACTGTTCAAAATATTCTATCAAGTGTCAGTATTCGTCTTACATTATATATTAACAAATTAGTAAAGATTCACATTCTGATTTGAAAAAAATAAACTTCCGAATATTCTTGTCCGTACTCTATTCTAATTAAAATTGTATTATAATCCAGTGTCTGATTTCCGGTTAGAGTCACGATGGTGAACAGACTTCGATTCGCACAAACGTTATTATATTATTATTATATATTTTATCTTATTATATTTGGAGTACTTAATGTCATAGAAATTAAAATCTGCTGAATAAAATTCAGCATATTAGTTAAAAAAAAAAAAAAAAAAGACAGCCAGGGTTTGATTTTCGGATAGGAGGTGAAAAGGTATTTGGTCACCTGCCCGACCACATGGGTTTTATCCTAGTTTTATGTTTCCTCCCATATTAAGACCATATCCGCACTTCTACCTGGGTCAACAAGAGTGATAAATATAAGTTTAAACAAGTTTTTCATAATTGTTGTAAAACAAAGTTTGTTCAAATAATAAGCCTTCATCCACTTACAAGGTTAGAAATGACTTCTTACATAAAACTAGAATCGTCGAGTTATATATATAACCTCTGCCTGCGCCGAGAACTTGAGAAATAGTTCTTTTGAGGAATCTTTTAAATGAACAATGCTAAGTATCTTTCTTAGGCCATACATGTAGGTCACAGTGACATACATGTAGTTCTTGCACGCCGCACTCCGTGAGCCACGACGTACTATCATTCCAAATCTAATTACTCAAGGTAAAAAAAAGTATAGAAAATATGCCCTAGACAAATGTTTGTTTCAAAGGACACGCTCTAAGGTCAAATAATAGGTCACAGTGACCTACGTTTTATATTTGACACCTCACCATCCCAAGATTTACTTGCACACCAAATCTAACTACTAAAAGGAAACAAGTCTAGAAGAAATGTCCAATACACAATCATTTTTTTTCAGAGACCTACTTTTTGTGCTTGACACTCTGGTATCGCAAAATGTACCTAAGCTGTTTACTCCGGATGAAATAGTACAGAAGATATGCCCCTGACAATATTTTGGCTAACTTTCGTAAAAAGTCTTTCGGAAAAAGACAGATTTTTGCACTTATTCAAAACTAATAATTTCTCAAAAACCTTGGTCCAGATTATTTTTGGACACAGAAAAAAGGGTGTTGCCCGGGCAATTAGGGCAACGTCCCTGGGTCCGCCACTGTCTCCAATAATAATGCCCAGATCAAAATATTACTCGCAGGTTAACAACTTAAATATGTGCTTATTACATTAGTGAAGTTTCATGAAATTGTGCTGAAAATTGTAAGAGTATATCCATACAGACAAATAGACAGATAAGGCTACATGGGTTAACAAGAAGTAAGATTGTGAAGACATTTTACTAGTGACCTGCTGGGATAAAGGACTATCGATTTTGTTCAATCAAATAAGCTGAACATTTTCTCAAGGGTAAAATTTGCTATAAATAGTTTGTTGGCTACCATGTCCTATGATTAAAATGAAAAAGAAAAGGAAATGTGAAGAATCATGCTGACATTTTGAAAAAAATGGCCGTAATGTACGGGCATTTGATTGGTTGAAAGCTGAAATTGTCGTAAAGTAAATTTGCATACATATTCTTCTGGAGATGTCACTTCAAAATCAGGCCTGCCATTTTAATTCTAACTCATTGATGGCCTCTTTGCCGTCTTGTTGGTCGAAATTATATTGTAGTAAAAGTGGTCCTGTTGTAAAAGATAGAACAACTCCTCTGGGTTATGTTCACTGTCAGTTAATTCATCGAGTGTATGGCAAGCCAAAAACCAAAAGAACACTGCAACATGTACAAAGTACAAGCTATAGACATACAAAATCACATTTAACATTTACAAATGCAAGGAAAATAACTCTTACACGATTACATAATTATGACCCTAACAAATCTAGTATTAACGATAATGCGATACAAATCACAATTACAACTTTTACGAAATACAATCGAACTCAAGATTTGACTCAACACGAAGTTACCGGACAATATACTAAATTTACAGATAGCAATCTCGCGTCATGTACCTTCTCAAATCAATACTATATATATACTTTTATATAAACAACACTATATCATACCTGGGTGTGGCACAAGGCCTTGGCTACCACCTATATGTACGACGTCTTCTCGAATCATATGCGATATACTGTAATTTATTTTTTGATATAAAAAGATACATTAATCATATCTGATTTCTTAATAAATACATCTTTTATACTTAAATTAGATCCAAATAGAATTATCACTCAAATAAAACACATAATATATGTTTATAAATACGTTGAGTATAACACAAAGACAAAGAAACACTTACACCGTCACATATGAGTCCTCAAAAGGTACTAGCGTGTTTTATTAGCCCATAAAGAAACACGCGCCAAAGAACTACTGACCAATGAACAACTGTATGGTATACCAATGTATCAACATACGTAACGAGCAGAACACCACAATTCCACCTGTAGACATAACATCACAGCATAGAATACAACACGCGGACGCAGAAGTTACATTACTCGGAGTACGAAATATAAACATGGACAGTCGGGGTGCTACGGACTGACTTAGTAAACAAACATACATAAAAGCAAACACATTAATTGTTGCAATATGTTGTTTTATTTCATGCAAATGCCTATTTTTTGCATCAAGGACTTTCCCGCAACTTGCGTTTCTTGATTGAACAAGACAGTTGTCTATGCCTCGACTATGATTAGCCAACATCTCAATCTCAATATCGTTCAATTTTGATTTTTAGTATGTTCTAGCACTGCGTAATCCACGTTGACTTCCGTTTGCATCATTAACGAATACAAGTGAAGGTTTGGGGACTCTGTAAAGGCCACTGAAGTACGATTAATTTTGTTTATTTTAGGCATTCTAGAGCCGATACCACGACTAGAGTTTGAAGACGACAGAGTTAAACTCCCTTGGAATACAACACAAGCCAAATCGTATAAATGGACATACATCGGAGAAGGTAATGGCCCAGATAAAGACCTCGCAGACGTGGACGTGGACGTGGACGTGGATGATCAAAATACATGCACACTCACAATTAAAAACTACAAAAAAACCGACACTGGCACATACATATGCAGAGATAAGGAGACGGACGAACAACTGGCAGCGTACAGTCTGAGTAAGTATTTTACTATTGACGTTACCTTTGTCATATAGAAGCCATCGGTAAATATTGGCAAAGTTCAATATACATGAGCACATTCAGTATTACTATCTTTTCTTGTTACTGATTAAAGAGGTGGCCTTGGTGACCAAAATATGCTCTCTGCCAATATATACATTGTTTTCAAGCATGAACTCCGATAATTGTAGTCAACTTATGTAGCAAACTACTAAAGTAGTTAACTTCTTTCAAATGCTTTTCTATCTAAAAAAATAAATTGTGATAGATCGAAAATATGATCGAAGGCAAGGGAACTATAATTTTGAAAACTAATGTCGCAAAACAAGTCGGTTACGAACTTAAGATCAATTTTGGAAAAAAATGTAAGAACTACAGATACAAATATTATTAAATGTTTGTCGTTGTGTTGTCGGATTCTATCAATCCGATATGCAACTTGTATCTTTCACACTTGACAGGTATCTATCTGTCACAGTGTGAAGATTAGATTGGTGTATAGCTTGATTTATATTACCACAAAATATATATTCTCTTTGTGTAGACCATCTATTTCCGTTTCAGTTTTGAAAAAAAATCATGCATAGTTTTCATTCGAAAACCATATACATTTGTAAAACAATATACCTCCATCCAATCTGCAGTTTTGAGTTTAGACTGAAGTTCACTAAAAGTGTATTACATGTAAATTATGACTTTAAGTGTAAATATGTAGTGCACTAGACCAACTGTAGTGTTGACTAGTTTTGTCTACCTGTTTCCCCCTAATACCGGTTCATGGTTTGCATGGCTTAACTATAATGTAGATGTCGAACACTTTAGTTTTGTGTACAAGTATATATACCGGGGGGATATATTCTTGAAACTAAATCAATCGCAAAATGTACATGTACCATGTTTATTGATTGCTCTGTTTTTCTGATAAAGTATGATAATTTTATTTATTTTATTTTGACACATGTGAGGCTATCATGGTTAGATTAAATGCAGAAACAATGGTTGCTTTGATATTCCAGTGATAATCCCAGTACATGTACAAGTATTTTCCTAAAATATGTTTCAGAAACGAAGTACAACGTGATAGGTAAGTAATTCTGCAAGTTTTTTCCAACAATATATATTCTCGTCAGTCATAACGGTCTAATGAAGATTGACTTTGAATCTGAACAAACAGATCCATGTGTATGACTGATATAAATATGTAATCAAAGAAGTGAAAGCAACAGTGCAGTCAAAGAAATTTGTCATGTTTTTCGAGGCACTTCACCTGTTATCAGGATATCCACATGAAACAAATACATGAAACAAAATATAAAAACGGACAAAATATGTTCTACTGATTCTTATATGCTGACTTGGAGGCATTATATAATGAAAACATTTTTTTTATGTGAATTAAGGTAACTTAATAGATAGATATCATAAGTGTGGGTGGCTTAATCCTGAACGCAATTTGATTTATCAGTCGGGATAGTATCATCACAATTATTTAAAAGTTTGTGCAGATTGAAAAGTTCTTTCTATAGATAAATTGTTTTCCACTGAAGTAGCAATTTCATTGTGTGTACATTAAGTTAAGGGATTCTATCTGTCTGTGTCGAAAAAGTCCATTCGTCTTCCGAACTGTTACATAATAACTTCAGTGAATGTTTTCCGAAGTTTTAATTTGACGTATAAAAATCATACAATATATAAAGACTTACATGTAAGTAATACAAGGACTCTAGTGGCGCGGCGTCTGTCAGTCCATCAACTGTTCCTTTCATAGTAATTAATGTTTAATATCTTTCAGTTTGATTTGAGTGTTTTTAATCAAATTTGGACCAGAGCATCTTCGGGCATGGAGACTCAATTTTGTATAAACGAAGAGTTTGGGCCGACCCTGAGGCAAAGTAGTGGGGCCAAATTGGGGGAACAGAGTTTTAAATCCTTCTCCTTCTGTTTAAACTGATTTGGACCAGAGCATCCTTGGGCAAAGGGAACATAATTTTGTATAAAAGGAAAGTGTGGTCCTCCAAGGGCAGTGGGATTGGTTTCCAATAGGAGGGTCAGAGTAATACATGTTTGATATCCTTCTATTTTCAGTTTGATTTGAGGGATTTGAACTAAATGGGCACTCAATTTTGTATAAACAGCCCCTGGGGGCGGGGCCCAATAGGGGAACATTGTAATAAATGTTTGATATCTTTCCCCTTTGGCTTGATTTGAGGGATTTCAAACTAATTTGGACCAGAGCATCATTAGGTAAAGGATACTCAACCTTCAGGGCAGAGGGGCGGGACCCAGTAGGGGAACTTGGGGAAAATCTTTAAAAGTCTTTTCCTTCGGTTTGTTTGGGGGGTTTTAACCAAATTGGGTCCAGAGCATACATAGGCAAATATGACTCAATTTTGTATAATCGAAGGTTGTGCCCCCAACCCTATTAACATGGGGCAATTTAGAAGTTCAAACATATTTAACCTTGAAAGTAGGTTAAGGTCATTCACATTAACGAACTTGATTACTCTTCTTTTTGAGCAGATTATTTGCAAAATATCACCCTACTATTCATTTTGGTTATTCAAAATCTGTTTTTAACAAAGTTGACCTCTGTGACCTTGAATGTAAGTCAAATCATTATTTTGATCAGACTGCATTTTACAAGCCAAATAGCATCACCCTGAGCTTTTCGGTTATTCAGAAGAGGTTGTTTACACATTTCAACATATGTATTCCCTGTAGCCTTGAAAAAAGGCAAAGGGCATTGATCCCTTGGTCTTTTCGTTATTCAGAAGGAGTTGTTTAAAAAAAAAAATTAAGAAAATTGACCCCTGTGACCTTAAATATGGGTGAAGGTCATTCATTTGAACAAACTTGGTAACCCTTTATCGCAGCAAGTTACCGATCAGTTGTCATCACCCAGGTACAATTCGTTATTCAAAAAAAAGTTGTTTAAAGCCGTTTTAAAACATTTGACTCCTGTGACCCTGAATATGGGTGAAAGTCATTCATTTGAACAAACTTGTACATGTAGCCCTTCATCCAATCATGCAACAGGACAAATATTATCACCCTTTTGGTTATTCAGAAGATGTATAAAGCTTGTTTAAGACATTTGATCCTGTGATTGAATAAGGGTGAAGGTCATTCATTTGAAAACAACTGGATCGCCCTTTATCCGAGCATGCTACTAGCCAAATATCACTATCCTATCCCTTTTGGTTATATAGAAGAAGTTGTTTTTGAGTTTTTAACATATTTGATACTTGTGACCTTGAATATGAGTTAAAGTCATTCATTTAATAAAACTTGGTAGCCTTCATCCCATGTAACTGGCCAAATATCATCACCCTGTTCCTTTTGGTTATTTAAAAGAAGTTGTTTAAATACTTAAACATATTTTACCTCTGTGGATTTGAAAATTGGTGAAAGTCTTTCATTTGAACAAATTTGCTAGCCCTTTTTCCAAGTATGATTCTGGCCAGGAATCACCCTTGGTCTATTGGTTTTTGAGAAGAAGTTGTTAAAAGAAAAACATTGACACCGGACGGCCGGATGGACGACGGACACTGCGCCATGGCATCACCTCGCTTTTAATCTGTGAACGGTATAATGTTAAAACTACTGTTTTTCCTTTTCAGTTGATTTGGAGTATCTGCACGAACCTGTAGATGAAGAGTTTAGAAACAAACTCATTGACAACACAGAGCGGTTACTCCAAACACTACCTTCCCATGTAGTGAAGATCCAAACACCAGAACAACGTTCAAAAGACACCTCTCATCGGTCATATAAAATGGAAGTTGTCGCATATTTTACCCAACAGAGAAATACAGCTGAATTAAAAACAATGGAAAATCGTGAGTCCCAATATGCAAATAATGAAAAACATGTAGGTCAACACAATTTATTATTTCTAATCACGTAAATATAAAACAATATAATAAATGTTATATAGCAACAAATATATATCAGTAATTTCATTATTGATACCAATACCTTTAATTCGTGGAATCATATTGCACTTAACAACGATGTTTTCCAGTTTAAGCAGTAGATTTTACCGTGAATTCGCTTCCAAATATTTAACCAATTTTGAAATATCACTGTTTTATTTCAGGTGATAAAGCAGGTGTTTGCATCTTGTTTCTCAACGATAACATTTCTATCCCAAATATATCCTTCAGTAAGAAACACATCGCCATTAGTTTTAGAACATATCCTAACAATGTGAAATGCTCTTTCTATGATGAATGTCACAAGAATTATTGGAACCAACTCTTAATGGAATGTACGGGTAACAGACAAGATTCTGGTACTGCAAAAGACAAAAAACAAGGGTCTGCAACTGCGGAAATCGAACAAGAGTCTGAATTTGCAGAAACAAGGTAAACGTCTGAAGTTACAGATAACGATCAAGGGACAGAGGGTTAATAGTAATAATAACAAGCCAGTAGAATTATGTTTCACATAATTGTTTTCCTTTGTAAGAAAACATGCAGGATTAGAAATAAAAAAACAACCAAATGAAAGTCTTGACATTGACATTGACATCTCAACATAAACAAGATAAGCAATTCTTGCACCTCAGACATACCCCATACTGAATTATTCGATCTCGTCCGTTCTGTCTGGTTCCTTTTCGTGATATTTCGCGGAGTTTTTACTCTGCGAAGTATTTATCCGCGCGTTAACGGCTTGAAATTGACAATCTGCATTATAAATATTCTGTTTTGTCATCTTAATTGTTATGACGGACACAATTTTGACGTAGCTTTGGAAGTGTAGAAGCCATTTTTATTTAAGTCCCTAGATAGTATACCTATAGTCTTTAGCAAAATTCAATAGCTATTTTTATACGCCCATCAAATTTGACGATAGTATTATGGTATGGCGTCGTCTGTCCGTCCGTCCGGCGTAAAATTTTGTACGTCCGGCAATTTCCTCCTACATTTTCGACCGATCTCTTTGAAACTTGGTATACATTATAATCATGATATGAAGTTGTGTCTCCCTTAAAAGAATTTTGATTTGATCATTTTTGCAAAAGCAATTGCCCTTTGTTCATTTCAGTATTTTATTTTTTTGTCCGGAGATTTTCTATTACATTTTTTATAGCATGTCAGCTAACCACTGTTAGAATGGTGCAGATCTTATTTCAATGTAAGAAAGTATATAACACTATATGGCATTCGACGGGCGTATATTGTTCCGCCCGCGGTACTCTTGTGTCAAATTAAAAGGTGCAAAAAAAAATCAATTACCTCAGTCAAGGGCTAAGACTCTGAAACATAATCCCTGAATCGACTGAAATTACCCGATCTCGCTCACTTACCAGTAATACATTTTATTAGACTTAAGATAATGACATTTTGATTTAAATGTATTAAAACTGAAGGAGAAGGTTATCAAGAAACAAACTTATTTACATAATTGTTTGGCGAGAGAAAAAAAACTCTCCACACAGTTCTTCTGTCGATAAATCGGCGCTTCAATAATGTTTCTGGTTCACATAATGTTTCATTTCTGTCCTGTAGACTCCTGTAGGCTTTTGCACTGTAGGGTTTTAAGATTGAAATAATGTTTTTACAATAGAAAGAATATTTAGTTAGTCATCGCAATAGCAAAAAAAAATGTGTATCCATTTTTAGCTCACCTGCGCCAAGGTCAAGTAATCTTATGCCATGACGACGCGTCCGTCGTCCGTCCATCAACTTTTCCTTTATAACACTACTAGTTCTGAACGGCCCAGTAGATTTTGACTAAATTTGGTCTGGAGCATCCTTGGGCCAGGGGCACTCATTTTTGTATAACCGGTGGGTGTGGCCCCTTGGGACAGAGGAGAAGGGCCCAATATGGGAAATAGAGAATAAACTTTTAAAATCCTTCTTCTAGCATAGGGATTAAGGGATTTCATCCCAATTTGGTCTGAAGCATCCTTAGGCGAAGAGCACTCAATTTTGTATAAACGGTAGGTGTGGCCCCCTGGGGGCAGAGGGGTGGGGCCAAATAGGTAAAATACAGGTAAATGTTTAAAATCCAACCCTATTCATGGGAACAGTAAGAAGGAATCGAATGAAGGGCAGTTGTTGCTGAGAGACAGAGCCAATATTTGGAAATAGTTGCAGTATCATATGTAATAAGAATAATTGTTCGTGGTTGCTTATAATTCATGTGAGCAATACAGGCCCACTGGGCCTCTTGTTAATTTTATTTTTTGTATAAAAACTTTCTGGTGGTGACTGTATGTCATCATTATGACAGTATATATGTACTGTATACGTTTTTGAATGAAACTTAACTAATCAAAGATGTTATATAGTACTTCTGATCATGTAACATCAAATATTCTTAAGACTTAACAGTATATGTATATTGTAACCCTGATTGCTTAACAGCATTGTTTTCAATTGCAAAATATGCCGAGCCATTCCACCAGTCCAGAATATATGTGACTGAACTATTCCCTAGTTTATAACAAGGGATTACAGTATATAGGTTAAATTTATTTGATCTTGTATGCAAATGATAAGTTCACATTCAACATTTTACAGCTGTCATTTCCAATTTTTCGTTTGATAAACCATGCTGTCACAACAGTTTGGTAATTTGCCAAAAGGATTTGTACGCTGACATTCATGGCCAATTGTTATCGATGGCTTTTTCATATTCCATGTAAATAAATTTATTAATTAAACTGTTTAAAGTTGTGCATGTCTGTTTTTGGGTTATCATTAACATAAGCTTACATTTTGAATTCAAATATGAAACTTTGTTAACTGCCCTTTTTATCGAATTTAGACAGGAATTAATGTTTAACTCTATTTGCTCACTATTACTGCCACATGTATCCAAAGACCACAGATGCCGAGTTTTATGTTCATTCTTGTCTAATTTTGAAAAAGATAGCTGTATTTCTTGAGCATAATAAAATGGTTGCTTCAGTCATGAGCAAGATGCTTGTTTCAAACAAGGGCTAGCTTGGTAATAAGTCTCTGGTAATAGGTCCTCGTAATGTCTATTTGTTAAGGCAAAAGGAAAGCAGGTTGTGGTTTGTAAGATCTTGGATGAGACCTCAACATTGTTTTACTTTGATATCTATTTTTTGACATTTAATTTTTAGGTCTCCTGTGGCTAAGTCTTGGCTAACCTATTGCGATCTTCGGTTGCCTATAAGTAAATCATTCACAAATTCAGTTTCTCCAAAACCCTGAAAAGATTTCATTAAAATTTGCTAGCTGCTACCATGCCCAAAGATGAACCAAAATGATGAATTAAATGTTTCCGTAGCCTTTAGGCATGAAAAGGCGTCAAGATGGATAAGAACAAGATTGTTGAAATTTGAGCAAATTTGACCTCTTTTGGCCTTGCCCCTCAGGTCCCTGGGATTAGATCCATTTAATCTTGGTTTGGCTTTGATCATGGACGCTTCCTCCATAACTTTATTGGAATACGTTCTGCAGCTTTGAAGAAAAAGTCAAAACTGTGAATTGTTTAAAGACAGACAACGGTCAATGCCAGACAAAAGACGATTGCAATAGGTCAGGTGAACTAAAAATTCACCGTGAGCGGGTTAATGTAACTACAAATATTTGTACAAAGTTTCATGAAATGATTTTAAAGGCTCAAGAATTACTGCTTGAAAGCAACATTTGGTACAAAACCTCAAAAGATCATTGGTGACTATATTGAATTTTAGATTCAGGTAAAAATGAAACTTGAGCGGGGACGTGTTACTACAGAATGCGTTGGAAGGTTATTAAACATTAAAGAGTCATTTAAGATATGAAGTCAGATACATTTGAGAAAAAGACGACAGAAACACGGGGGTCCCTACATGCATATGTCTCATCACTTCCGTAATGCAGGCGACACCAAATATCCAAGGTATTTGTGAAAATTCAACGACAAAAACAACAAGTTTTATGGTGCTGTCAAGTCTTCATCATACGGAAGTCTCTGTCTTGTCAAGTGATTTTATGCGAAAGGCTGTTAACATATATTACCCACAGAAAAAAAGGAGGGCACCGGCTGATATTCATCATTCATCTTTAATAACAAAATCAAGTGTATTCACAATTACCCACATTTCTGTAACATCAAATAGCTCATTCCACAAGTCAAAAAAATGTTCATTATTGTATTTAATTACATGTTCACTCACATAAAAACACATTATATCACACTGTGCTCTGGTATCAAACCATTCATAACATTATTTGTAGATGATATTATATATGCATATACATATTATATAATTACATATCTTAAAAGATGTCAGATAAAACAAAACAAAAATGGTAAATCTCTTTTTTTTTGTTAGTCATGGCAAATTATGTCAATATATTGTTTAATCAAACAAGTGTCCCTAAATAATATTTCCTTTTTTTATCAATCTCTTAAAACTCTTTTAGATATATATCACTGACCTTGCATGTAGTACCTAAGCATGCACACAAAAAAAGCTTTGCATTTTATGAACATAAAGTTTACATACTGCATGAGAAGAAACTTTCACAGTTTTGGTAGTTGTAGTGTAACCAGTAATATAGATATACAGGTACAGAAACATCCAAAATATGAATGATTTTACAGATAAAAGTCTATTATAGTCAAATAGATTGTGAAACTTTGTACGAGATAGATAGTTTGTGAACAATAAAACCCACATAAACAAATATCACACAGTGATATTATCTTACAGTGATAACTGATTATTATTTTTATGAGTGAAATCTCAGATATCAAAGAATTCAACTTACAATACAGACTTACTTTACCCTGACCCGTCTGGAAATGGCAAAGATAAGCAAATTTTAAATATATATATGAAAATGTCGTTGAAACTTCAATTATAAAACTATATTTGCACTGCATTACATAATTTACTATTTAGGTAAAACCCCAACCCTGTGATGAATCCGATATCTTTTCTGACGGAAATAGATAACCAGCTGGTCATGTTGTTCCTCTGTCTAAACTCTAAAAATTTGACCTGAACACATCAAACAAAATGATTCAATACCCTCTTAACTCAAAGAAATAACTTTATACAAGTCATGCACTATTATTAAAAGGCAACCTCACATAATCTTTATAACCTCCCCTTACATAATTGGGCAATTTGCATTTAATATTTGACCAATATTCAACAGTGTCGAAGTGTGTTTCACACACGTTCATGATTAGAACTGAAATCAAAACACAACGCATGATTCGACCTTCAGCACAGTATGTGTACATAAGTATGTTTACAGTTTGGTAAATATTACTTTAAACTTCAATGATATCAAAACTTGGTTATACCTGATCACAAAAATAACTAAAACAACTTTGTTATGGTCTCTACTTCAATTAAGGTAAAGCTGATTTTTCTGTTAGTACTTGGTACTATGATAAAGGCTTGTTATTACCAGTCGAAGAGATTCTTAAGACCTTACTTTTCATTTGCACTAATAACTTTTCTTGCATTATCAAGTAAAAACTCCTGATTTAACACTGAAGTGTTAACTATACACTGACTTTAATTTGCAGTGTTATTTTTGTATTTATGGTGGAGAAATAAATGTATTCACCGTCGAAAATACAGTTTTAGTATTGCCTATTCTAAAGCATTACTTGACAACTTTTTAAATCTTGTCATGTTGAATCAGTGATTCACTTAATCACGAAAAAAAAATACACAGCTGTGAAATTAACACTACTGTTAAAATAACATTGCACTGCCATAAATGATATCATGATACTTTGTTAAAATATCATGGTATGCCCATGAAAATAACATTGTATTGTCTTAAATAAAAAACATGGTTATTTCACAAAAAAAGATATGGTACAGCTTGAAATTAAAATAGAAAGGTACTATCATGAAAATAGCTAGGTACTGATAACAAGATGTAAAGGATATTCTTGGTTTCTTTATAACAGTTATATTTCACATGTGGATTGAACATGAACTATTATTTTGATAT